GCAAACCCTATACAGGGTCGCTATGAGGTGGAACTGAATCACCAGCACTTGACAACAACGTAGAGCTTCAGACTCAGAAAAGAGAATGAGACGCTGTACAATCTCAATTTTTCGAGTTAAACTGCTTTCTTAGAAAAACATTTTCTCTGCAGCAGTAAATCTTGCATAAACTGAATGACAGGGTCATTCTGTTACTACCTTTTATCTTCCAGAAGTCTACATTTTACTCTCAACTATAGGTTGATGGGTCAGTCTTTTCCCTGAAGGCCCCGAAGACGGCAGACTGTGCGCATGTCCATGGTAGAAGACAACATTGCTGTTTACCTTGCGTAGTAGTGACTGGTATTGTACCAAGATAGTAATACTTCATGCTGCTGATGGGTCAACAGAGTCCTCCTGTCCAGGGGAACAAGACTTGATGCCTCCTTTGTCCCCAGAATGCCAGTGCCATCTCTATTGGCTACCTCACGTCTTCTAGACTCCTTCCCCCAAATTACTATAAAAATGCTCATTTCTCTGTTGGTAAAACTGTCATCTTTCTTCTCTCATTCCTTATACTGTCCATCTATCCTCACTCACTCACCTAGACACTAGACACCTAGTGCATACAGGAAGTGCACACCATAGTCACATGGGGTGTTAAAGGGTAGGGCATGGCTAGTAACGTCACTGAACGTTGGCAGAGTGACCCAATGGGCTTCTAGGTCTAGTTTTAGAACATGGTTCAGAAAATCAACACAGAGGCTCTGAAGGACAGGATAACCAGGACAGAGCCAGGGACACACACCAGAAACACTGCAGTTCTGCTCGGGATTTGTATCACACCCTGGATGTGATGGACGATTCAGTTTCCTGACTGAAGCCCAGAGGGGAACTGCACCAGGCACCATGGCTACAGGGAGGATTAGCAGTAACGGAACCAATGAAGCAGGATTTTCCCTTAAAGAATAATTTCCAAAAAGCTTATAGGTTCTGTTTTGTAATAAACTATACACTGAGCTTCCCTCTCACCCCAATAATCTCAGTGGCCACGAACGAAACACAGTGTACCATCCATCCCTGAGCCCGCCTTTGTCTCCCTTTTGCAGGGTTCCTTTGTACACAGCACCATTACTGAACCAAATCCTGGTCAAATGAATAAATCCGAATACAAATCAAGTTATTTGTGGTTTATACACCAGCCAGCATGAATTCTTTGAATTTTCTAGCATCACTTTTTGCTCTTTTTTAACATCAGCATTTCCACTTACCTTTTGACTCCCAGCCTTGAGTAAGTACAGAGGTCAAAGGGATCAAACATAGGGAGGTAGCCACAGGGATGGGAAGTTCCGCCTGGGATCTTTGAGGCTGAGGCTTTCAATAGGACCTGCGTTCCAGCCATCAGTGTGGGTTTACCTACTTCACCGTCTTCGTTGTAGTTATGGTTGTCAGGTGCCATCGAGTCGGTACCAACTCATAGCAACCCTATGCATATAGGATGAAACACTGCCTGGTCCTGCGCTAACCTCACAACTAAACTGTTGCTACGCTTAAGCCCACTGCTGCTGCCACTGTGCCAGTCCATCACATTGTGGGGTCTTCCTTTTTCCCACCGTCCACTTTACCAAGCATAATGTCCTTCTCCAGGAAAACATCCCTCCTGATAATATGTCCGAAGCATGCAAGGCGAAATCTGGCCATCCTGGCTTCCAAGCAGCACTCTGGCTGTACTTCTTGCAACATAGATTTGTTTGTTTTTCTGGTAGTTCATGGTATTTCTTTAGTGGCAAATAATCAGTGACAACCTAATCCGCCTTGGCCCATCCTTCTCCCTGAGGCTTTCTTTTCAATGCGTCATTGTTGGTGGCGTCACGTATGACTTTATTCTTAGATCTGGGAAGATAAGATGGTCTGCCCAACCATATTTCTCACAGAGGTGCAGCTGGTGGGCCTGCTTGGTAGATGTCCTAGCCCATGAAGACAGAGTGACCTCACACCACAACTGAGTCGGTTCTGGCTCATAGTGAACATGTATAGAGTGACCTTGAGGAGTGGCTGATGGGTTTGGACTACCAGTCTTGCAGGTCAAACTGACTTGGTGGTCCAGTGTTTATACTACAGTAGCACACAAGGACTCCACACCACATGAAAGATACAACATAGAAACTGGTGTCCCCACTTTGATAAGAGCTCAGATACTACAGTGGTTCTTGTGTCACAGACACATGGCTAGCTTGTGTTCCACCCGACAGAAACAATTTATGAACTCAGTGGTGATACTACCATCATAGAATTCCATGCCAGTGTTTGCTACGTTTTCTCTGCATATTGTTATGCTTCAAATTTAGCTGACTTAAAACTAGGATTTTTGAGGTTAAGAACATGAGACGCAGACCATCCACTGGTTTCTCAAGTTCATAAACTGGCCTGTAACTGATACTCTGATGTTCTTCTGCTTTTCTGCCCTCTCTCAAATGTTCACAACAGTCTCCACAAGCCTCCCTTTCCCACCATTAGAAGAATACATGCTGTCTTGGACACTATTTGGGTGGAGGACAGCAGAGTGAACAAAATGTACCACTGGAGTCTCAACAGTCCCTAAAGGAGGTGATCAGTGAGAAGACACATCGAGCAGCTTCCAGTATGTCAGCTCCTGTGACCAGGCACCAGACCATTGTCACTGGGAGCTGTATAACCACCATCACTAGGAGCTGTACTGGGAGCTGTATTACCACTGGCTTTGCCACTTTAGAGAGTTGAAAGAGGACATTCAGAATATTTGAGAATTCATATCCCAAACAGGGAAAATACATGTATGACTTATAAAGCACCACACATAAGATGAGTCTAAGGATACTTTCATTCGGTCATTTCTCTCTGTGCAGCCCCCACTGGTAATGCCAGCATTGTCCTCAGGTCTCAGGCATTAACAGCTATATAAGGTCTCCTGTAGCCCGTGTGCAGATCCCAGAAAACGACGTTTCAGTCCTACTGGGTCTGAGGATAAGAGGGTGGGAGAGAAGACTGACAGGGTGACAGAATTCAGCTGTGGACGATGGCGGAGCTCACTGTAATTGTGAAAACTGGAAGTTCTAGCATGGGTTTAATATGAGCCATTTCAGCCGCAGGAGGGGGAATCTCACTGAAAAGAGCCAGGAGGGGAGTGTGTCCTGTAGGCAGTCCAGGGACAGGCAAGCCGACACCGTAGAGAGGCAGAGCAGCAGCAGCAGCAGAAGCCAGAACCAGAGCACCAGACAGAGCAGTGAGCGTCCCAAGCCACGGAGCCAGGAAAGCTGAGGCGCTCTGGGCAGTAAGCTTGCTTGTAGGGTGGGGTAACTTCAAACACTTAGGTGGGGTAGCTAGGTCTGCTGACCCGCTGAGCTAGAGCCAAGTGCCTTGAGGCTGAGGCTTACGGTCGAGCGGTGTATGCTGACGGGAACAACTGTGTCCTGAGCAGTTCTGGCCCCCATTTGTAACCTGTTATCATCCCGAATAAACCCTCTAACTATGAGTGTGGTGTCTAAGTTCTGTGTGGCCACTGCAATGTACGACTGAACCAACTGAGTAGAGGTGACTGTGCAAAGAATGACTGGTGCTTCATTTCTAATATCACTGTGCAAAGGTACATGCAGTGGGTTTTACCAATTCATACTAAATGGCATTAATAGATGGACATTTTCATTTCCTCACTGACTAGAATTAAATTCTTAGCACTATCAGAGGCTTCCGTTTCCCTCATTCTCTCTCTGGCACTCAGACCCTAATAACCTGAACTCTCTGCTTGACCAATAATCTTTGTTGTTGTTGTTGTTGTTGTTGTTGTGTGCCGTGGAGCTGGTTCCATCTCATAGTGACCCTGCACAGGGTTTCCGAGGCTGTAAATCTTTATGGGAGCAGAAAGCCTCATCTTTCTCCCACGGAACAGCTGGTAGTTTCAAACTGCTGACCTTGTGGCTCACAGCCCGATTCATAACCACTATGCTACCAGAGCTCCTTTCCTTTACTGGCTTTTAAATAAATATACTGACACATCTTTAACGGCAACACATAAAGTAAACACATACAGCTCTAAATTGTGGTTTGCAAATATTTGATACAATTTAGATTTTGGATACAACAAATGCTCCTTGGTAAAAACTCAGGAGAAATGTTTCACTACGAAGGCCACATGTACCACCCAGAATGTATGCCAGTAGGGAAGGGAATTGTATAGATCACCCCAACACTGCGTGTGTATCTCATACTTACTCATAAGCACCGGACTGCTAACTGTGAGACTGACAGTTCAAACCCACCAGCCACTCCTGGGAAACTCTATACAAAGTCACGATGAGTCAGAACCAACTCAGCATTTAATAACGTTTGGCGACCACTTTTCACACACAAGCTGTTAAGATTTTCTTGTCTTTTGGCTCAGTCATTCCTACTGAAAAAACATCAAATATCTCCTTTTAGGCCATGTAAACCACTCCTTAAAGTAGCTGGAGTGAGACAGAATCTTCTTCTGTTTAAATTCACACTTCCTTAGGTCGTGGTGGATATGTGTCGTAGAGTGGTTCCAACTCATAGCAACCCTATACAGGGTTTCTGAGGCTGTAAATCTTTACAGGAGCAGAAAGCCTCATCTTTCTCCCACAGAGCAGCTAACGGGCTCGAACTGCCAACTTTATGCTTATCCGACAGAGGCTCCGCAGGGTTCCTGTGAGGACAGGGTAAAGCATCTGGTGCTCTAGTGTGTCTTCCTTCCCATCTCCTTAGGAAGTAAGAGTTCACACTGAGGAAGACACAGTTAGTGGAACCAAGTGTTGACAAGTGACCTACAGGTGAGGAGAAGGTGGCCCTACCACCAGAAAGGTACAAGTGGACCCCGCGAACACAATGGGTATGCCGTCCACACGCCTCATGGACGACTCAGTCATCTTCTGCAGGGGTTTACCTTCCTAATTTTTATTTTTCTGGTGACATCAGAATTTGCTGGCGTTTACCGAGCACAGACTTTTAAAGACAGGGGAACCGGTGCAGAACTGTAGCTGTCAGAAATAATGAGCCTGTGAGAAAAAAACCAGCTGTGGAGATTACCTTCAGACATGATGCATGAATTGTCTCTTTTCCCGTTTTCCCAAAAGTAAATAAATACAATGATAAACATACCAAATCTTCTCTCAGTAAGGGGAAGTCAGATGCTAGCACATGTCGAATTCTATTAATAACAAACACCAGTACATCTGTCAAGGGAGCTAGAATCTCAGGATAACTGAGTCTGCGCTGGAAAGAATGCCCATTAAAGGTTTTCTTATGATACTATATGAAACTTATAATCGATTTACTATATTTTAGCATTATTATAGGAGTCTTGGAGTGGCACTGAGGACTAATGCACTGGACTGCAAAGGTCGGCGGTTCAAGCTCATCAGTTGCTCCTTGCCTTGGAAACCCTGTACAGGGTTGCTATGAATTGACTCAATGGCACTTAACAACAACAATAAACATTACTATAAATAAAATCCTTATTGAATGGAAAAGGGGAAATTCCAAAACAAGGCCACTTTTCTTAAATGAATCTGTATGAGGTGGTAGCTACATTGTTGCAAAGAAGTAACGACCCCAGGAAGCCCCTCAATGAGTCCTGGTGTGGCACTGTGGGTTAATACGCTAGACTGTAAAGTCCTTTGAACCTCAAGGTTGGAGGTTCAAAGTCATCAGCTGCTCCTCGGAAACCCTATACAGGGTCACTATGCGTGGGAACAACTTGAAGGCACATAACAACAACAACAACAACATGCTCCTACGGTTCCACAATCAGGCCTCACAGAAATGTGTAAAAAGGAACTACACTTTAGCTCAGAGCATTGCAACATCTTTCTCACTGTCCAGTCAAAACAGTAGAAAGCAAACCAATGTGTTGGGCAGAATGGAAGACACAACTCAAAGTGTATGTGCAGCACGGCTCTCCGCCTCTTGTCTGAGTCTCCTGCTGACAGTCTGTCCAAGGTGAATGATCACACTTGAAAACAGTCAGAGCCGAGCAAACTATGTGCCAAACCACTTTTAAGAGTTATACTGCTCTGACTGGCTACAAAGATGATCAAACACTGAACATAAAACTTAATTCAAACACAGTTAAGAAATTTTCCTTTGGAGTAATTTTTAGGAATAAAACGATGTAAATACAATGCTTTCAATAACTATAACTTAGAATGCACATTTTAAAAAGCACCCCACAAGGTACACAAGGTATCTGATTACAGATTAAAAAAAAAACAAACAACCTTTATCTCATTAACCTAGAGTTTTCCACTGTTTTATCCTGAGATAGCAGTCTACTGCAATCGAATTCATTCTAAAAGTTTAATAAATAAAGTATCTGGCTTGTGAAAACATGAAAAGTCCAAACAGATGCTAGTTGGTCTACCAGCTACTTTTTCACTTAAAAAGAATGCCAGAGCACCAAAA